CTCACGAAAGAAGAAAGCCGTCGTGTTTACAACTGTGACGACGAGCGCTTATCAGGATCAACTAAACGCTGGATTTTCAAAAGTATGTGAAAAATTTAAAGTTCGCGGCATAGAATCTTTAAAATACATCCGAGAGTTTTACACGCCGGTCTGTTATTGTGGCGACATTTCCATGCCCTGAAACGTGACGATGAACGAAACGAACTGTGATTGGTTGTTTCACACGTCAGTCAAACGGCCTCATGGGTGGGCCTTGGCCAATGAAAGCTGCCATGGATTCCAGACCTTCAGCCGTCAGTCTGAAGGTCTGGCTACGCGAGACTAAATCTTTGTAATCTCCTCAGATGACAATGTAGATGCATGTTGTTGTTGTTGTTGTGATCATAAACTGTATGGATGTGATTACACGCAATACACTGAGCTTTTCCTTCACCATTGTAACGCGCTGCTTTCGCAAGGTTCCGTGAAAACGTTTCAGCTTTTATTTTCCTTTTTCGCCCTGAAGAAGATAGCTAGCCCGTCTTTTCAAAGTGAAAGTAGCCTTGTCACCTGACCTGAAAACAGCGCACTGATTCGCTAAAATGGACTTATCGGCTTCTGTTCAAAAACAACAAGGGCGCTTGTCGGCTTCTGCAGTAAAACGTGAACTCGCGATGCCTTGAAAGTGGACAAAACCGGCTTTTTTTGACAAAACGTGTTTAGGGTTCAGATCGCGCTATATGTGGAGAATAATGCACGGCAATCAGCTCGTTTTTTTTTTTTAAGTGGCGTTTATCAGTTTTTGCAAATAAACTCTTCATACATTTCTGATATTAAACCGAAAATTTTGATATCAGAATATTAAATGAACATTTTATTATTGACATTTCTGTATAAAACCATTTTTTGCAGTATATTTTGAATGAATGATCCGAGTAGACTGGGAAGGCAGCTTTGCATTGTGATCATTAGAGTACAGTACAGAATCTCTACATATACTACATCAAACGACTTCAAAAGAAAAGAACACATGAAAAAAGTGTTTTATGAACAATGTATATTCTTTTTCTCTCTTTCCCAGCGTTTACTGCATGACAAATCCACAAGAAGTTTCCTCGAATGCCACCTGAAGACCGATGCAAACAAAACAGCCTACAACATTCGTCTATGTCCTGGTGATCCCAGTGAGGAAGCAAAGCATCAAGACGTTCCTGGTTTTGGTTAGTGAAATGTCGCCCGTATCTATTGTTCAAACACTGGATCCACTCATTAGAGGGGAGATGTTTCCTCCGTTTCATATCGCTTTCTTTCTTTCCTTCTTTTTTTAAGTAATGCCGAGAGACACTGATCTTCTGCGGATTCTTTCAGGGGAAAAAATTTAATTGCTCATGCGTCAGGCGATGTTCAAGGATTTACTGGGAACAAATGAAGCAGATACATGCAGGGCCACAAAATGAAAGAGCTTTGCATCTTTTTTGTTTATTTGCTCTTTTCGGTTTATTATTAATGCGGATTCCAGCAAGGCCTCGGTTGGCGGCGACGTACTGGACGGCCGTTATAAACGCGCTCCCTTGACAGTGGCGCATTTAGCTAATGCTGATGCCATATTTGCATACGGTGTACAAATACAGTGTGCTTTCTAAACAATAGTACATTCAACAGAAGGACAATGTATTGTAACCATTTTAGAAACAAATCCATTTTTTTTATTATACGAACAAAAAGTACTATGGTCTTAGGTAATAATAAATAAATACATATACTGTATGTACGTATTCATTTATTATTTATATTAATATATATATTTATATGTACACACACACACACACGTTTGTTTCTGTGAATTGTGGGGACTTTCCATAGACTTCTATTACTTTTATACTGACCAAACTATATTTTCTATCCCCTAACCCTTACATAAAACCTGTTCGCATTGTTACACTTTCAGATAAACAACTATTTTTTTATTTAAAAAAATTCCCTCTTGGGGACTGCAGGCCGGTCCCCACAATGTCAAAAATTTCAGGTTTTTCTATCCTTGTGGGGACATTTGCTCCCCACAATGTAGCATAAACAAGTACACACACACACACACACAGAGAGAGACATTTATTCTATTACTTTTATACTGACCAAACTATATTTTCTATCCCCTAACCCTTACATAAAACCTGTTTGCATTGTTACACTTTCAGATAAACATAATTTACTATTTTTAATAATTTTTTCCCCTCGTAGGGACCGCAGGCCGGTCCACACAATGTCAAAAATGTCAGGTTTTACTATCCTTGTGGGGACATTTGGTCCACACAATGTAGTATAAACAAGTACACACACACATATAGAATATTTTATGAAAATGCTAATATAACAGGTTAAAGCTGCAGCCCGTAACTTTTTTTGGGTTAAAAATGATCCGAAATCAATATTTGAGCAAGTACATAACCAGCCAGTGTTCAAAACTATCACCTTACTTTAGCCCGATTCACAACGGTTAGCTTATAATAATGTTTTCTAATTTGAGTGGTACGGGTAGGTTTTCACGGGAAATTCGAGCATGCTGCCGCGTCATTACGTCACTTCTGTAAACATAAAGAAGTTGTCCCGGCTACTAGACTATCGCATGTGAGGATCCTGCAGGTGGCGGATCGTTTGTAGCCTTTTCTCACAGCAGCCAGAATAATTAAATGTATCATTTTGATGGCGGATTGTAATCCATAAAGGATTATGTGTTTATGAAACATGTGAATGAAATTAAATTATATTCCAGTTATAAATGTGCTTCTGATTACAGATAGCCTGGGATTACAAAGATTTGTATTTTAAAGAAATCCAGTTCGAAGGGAGCATAATTTGCTTTTTGGGTTAAAATAATTTCTTAATATGAAATTCGAGTGGTATGACAATTAGAGATTA